CAGGCTCAAAACAAAGAGAGGGGAATATATCTATCATGCAAATGAAAAACAAAAAAGGACAAGAGTTGCTATTCTTATATTAGATAAAACAGATGTTAAACAATGAAGGGCATTACTATAATGATAAAGAGTACAATCCAACAAGAAGACCTAAGAATCCTAAATATATATGCATCCAACACTGGAACACCCATATCCATAAAACAAGTTCTTCTTGGCCTATGAAAAGATTTAGACAACCAAACAATAATAGTGGGAAACTTCAAAACTCCACTGACAGTGTTAGACAGATCATTGTTAGACAGAAAACTAACCAAGAAATGCTGGATTTAAACTCAACACTTAACCGGTTGAAACTAATAGACAAATATAGAACACTCCACCCAAAAGGAATGCTTATACACTGTTGCTGGAAATGTAAATTAGTTCAGGCACTGAGGAAAGCAGTTTGGAGATTTTTCAAATAATTTAAAACAGAGCTACCTTTCCACCTAGTAATCCCATTATTGATTATATATCCAAAGAAAACTAAAACATTATACCAAAATGCACTCATATGTTCAAAACTGTGCAATTCACAATAGCAAAGACATGGAATCAATCGAGGTGCCTATCAATGACAGATTGGTTGAAGAAAACATATACGCTATGGAATACTACACAGCCCTAAAAAAATGAAATCAGGTTGTTCGCAGCAACATAAATAGAGCTAAAGGCCATAGTCCTAAGTAAATTAATGCAGGAACAGAAAACCAAATACTACATGTTCTCACTTACAAGTGAGAACTAAACATTGAGCACACATGAACATAAACATGGGAACGACTGACACTGGGCACTACTTGAGGGGAAGAGAGAGGGAGGTTGACATGGGTTGAAAAACTACCTATTGGGTACTATGTTCACTACCTGGGTGCAGTATACCCATGTAACAAACCTTCATATGTACTCCCTGTATCTAAAATAAAAGTGGGAATTTTAAAAAGACTAAATATGTTAAAACTAGTACTCTCTAAATTTTATCTACAGTCATTAAAATCTCAATTGTTATCTCAACTGTTTTTGTTTTCTAAGAAACTGAAAAGCTGATTCTAGAAGGTATATGAACACAAAGAACTTATGAGAAGTCCCACTCCTGGTTAGAAGTCTATGTGCGATGTTTCGGGCCATAGGTAATCAATCACAAAGGCTTTACCTGGCAGGTTTACAGAGTGTGGAGAGGCTGTTCTGTCCACCCCAGACTTGGTGCACAGCCAATGCATTGCAGCCTTTGAAGGGAGTTGCAGTCAAGGACCCCCTGGCTGGTCATGCCCTTGTGCATATTTATATTGCCAGCTCAGGATCCTTCATTCTTAGGTCTCTTTATCTGAGGTCTATGTAGAGGTCTTCTTCAGGTGCCTCTGTCAAGGCCTTCTAATAGGAGAGGAAGAGAAAACTTAAAGACACTTTTCTCCACTCTGAGTACCCACCGAGTTTCCACTTTCTCCTTGCAGGGCCCCCTAACAGTGAGACAAACCCATGTCTGTACTAATCCAACTAACCCTTGACCAGGTCATTTCCACAGAGAAAAATGGAACAGGGGGAGTCAGTACTTTCTCTGGCTTTAGACTCTTGCTTACACTATTGAAGGAGGTAATTAAAGACTTAACTCTTTCCTTTTGGGCTTGTTGCTTTAATTGGCTCACTACCTGGGTGCAATATAACCATGTAACAAACCTGCATATGTAGCCCCTGTATCTAAAATAAAAGTTGAAATTTTAAAAATATGTTAAAATGAGTACCTAAGTCCTCAGCACTCTTTTTCAGCTCTGCTGAGATCCTGACACTCTAGAATAATCAAAACATTATTTAGAAAGAACACACTTGGAGTACTTTCACTATCTGACTTCAAGACTTACTATAAACCCACAATAATCAAAGGAATGTGGTACTGGCAAAAGGGCAGACAAATAGGAAATACACATTAAAACCACAATGAGATACCACTAACCATCCACATACCCACTCAAATTAAACCACCTGGCAACACCAAATGCTGGCAAAAATTTGGAGTCCCAGAACTCACATATATTGTTGGTGAAAGTGGATAATAGTACAACCAATTTGGAAAAAGTTCTAATAGTTTCTTAGAAAACTAAACCCCTATGATCATCTATCCCTATGAGCCAGAAATTATGCTCCTAAGTATTTACTTAAAAGAAATAAAAACATACATCTACAAAAAAAGACTTAAACCAGAATGTTTACAGAAAGTGAATTAATCATTGCCAAAACCTGGAGACATCTTCAATGTCCATCTCCAGGAGAGTGGCTAAACAAACGGTAGTATATCCATATGGTGACATATTCCACTGCCACAAAAAGGAACGAAGTACTAATACACACGACTTGGACAAATCTTAAAAACATTATTCTGAGTGAAAGAAACTTTGCATAGAAGAGTGTATGATGTTATTCCATTTACATAAAATTCTAGAAAATAATAATTTATAATAAAGAAATCAGAACACTGGTTGCCTCTAAGGGGTTATTAGTGGGGAAAACTAAGGCATGAGAAAACCTTGGAGATAATGGTAATATTGTATAATTTGGTAGGTTACACAGTGTATGCATTTGTCAAAACTTGTTTAACGGTATTCAAGATTTGTGCATGGTGCTGTATGCAAATTTTACCTGAAAAACACCTTGAACTCCAGTTAATTATACGTGTGCTGAACTGCTTAGAAGTGAAGTATGCCTTCAACTGACTTTTCAATGAATTACAAAATTAGATGGATTGATGGAAGAATAGAAGGATGGATAGATGGATAGTTATGTGGTAAAGCAATAATGGTTTTATCTAGAACCTAGGCGGTGGGTACACGCATGTTCACGGTATAATACTTTCAGCTTCTATAGATGTTTGAAAATTCTCATAATAAAATGGAAAATAATGCCACGATTCTGTGTATTTTTTAATAAAATCAACTTTGAAATACGCTGATAAGAACCACATTGCTAATTAAAGAAGTGAAGTACAGGAAGGTTTGGACTTTGTGTTTCCTGTGTAAAAGAAGAAAGAGTCAGATTTACATAAACTTGAGCAAGCAAGAACTATTATTTCTAAGAATATGTACCAAAACACTTAAAAGACTGTTTGTCTCTGGAGAGGGGACTTACTTTTTGTTCTCTGTTATAATTGAATCATTAACTACGTGCATGTATTAATTCAATAAATAAACACATTAAAATTAAACAAGAGTTTAGTATCCATAACATTCCCTGAGAGAAAAATTTAGAGACCACTGCAGTTTGAAAAGCATGAAAAGGGAGGGGAATATGTTTGCTGGTTTTTTTGTTTTTTGTTTTTTTTCAAACAAAGAATACTGATGAAGAGGCAAAGATTTGGAATTTAGTAAAGAATAGGGATCATTTGTTAATTTTCAGAAGCTATTAGGATAAATGAAATGAAAAAGATGCTGGGTTATTTTGGCAGAGAGTTTGATACAATTGACTAAAAGATTTAAAAATATATCTACATGTCAATAAAAACTGAAGTATTCTATATCTTTTACTACTTCTACTTAGCAGAGTTTACCTCAAGCCACTGTCTGAGTCATGTCCAATAGATGTAAAGGCTTCACACACACTCCTCATATGAACGAGTTACTGAAATATTGTTAAAGTGTCACATTTTCTCTATTATAAGGTAAATTGCTTTTCACAATTCTATTTTCTTTGAAATATGGGTAAGTCCTATAATCAATCTTCACCTTTAATGTGGTATTACTAAACACCACCCAAAAGTAACAATTAGGTATTTAATAGAACATCTTATAATAGAGAGAATCTCAGAATCAAATAAGATAGGTTATCTTTTGCAAGGCTGTCTTTCTAGAGTTTCCTAGTATTCTGTAGAATGTTAGGCCTATCATTTTCAGTTACCCTCCAGACTGTACTTTACTAAGGCACAGGCAACTGCAAGAGTCAGATAATACTTGATAGTGTTGATAGTAACACTTGAGATTTGTGATCACATAGGCATTGATTTGAGTCCTGACTCTGTTACTTACTCTTGGATTATATGAACTTGGATAGGTTATTTAAGGTCTCTAGGTCTTACTTCTAAAATTTCCTAATCTGTAAAAATAGTGTGACAATAATAAATAGCCAAACCAAAAAATAGACTTAAATAAATGTATGAAAAGCAGAGTAAGTGCTCAAAAACTTAGATGTACTTTTATGCAAAAGTGAACTATTTTAAGCAATTACATGATATGAGAAATCAGCTTGATAATGGAAAAAGATCATAGCATTGTGGTCAAGTTTTACACATGCATGATCTGTTTCGTGGCCTAGACTGAGTTGAATTAGAATAGAAGAAACTATATTACAAGTATCCAGAAATTAAGCAAAGACAAAAAAATAGTTATGACTGTGATAACTGAAACAAGTGAAGAGATATAAGAGACAATGCATTTAATTTGTGAATTGGCAAATAAGGTAGGTGAAGAAAAAGAGAGGCTTATGGAATTCTTGAGCCTAACGGGCAAGAAGAGCAGGGATGCCATTTGTTGGGAGAGGGAAACTGAGGAATAAGAGCCCGTTTATTGGTGTGTGTATGTGCTGGGGCAGGAATGAGTTCAGTTTGAGATAACCGTGAAGACCCAGCAGACAGCTGAAATACTGTTAAGAGGTTCCCTTATATTCTAACATATTACCTTTAGTTCTTTGAAGTCAATTCTGCACCCCACTGTTTGCTCTACACCCAGACAGTAGCACAGACTGGTGTTCAGTAATGACAGATGGTAAAGTGGTGGGAGAACGGTGGTGAGTTGCCGGTGCATGCTGCGAGGCTTGGGCATGAAGACTCATCCTGAGTGAAGAGCCACACAGTTCCACCAGGGGGAAGACTGATTTTTGCATATCTTGCAGAAAATCAACCACCTGTTAGAGGAGGGAAACAGAGCAGGAAGGAGCTACGCTGTAGGAAGCAAAGATGAACTTGAGTTTCACTTCTTAGTGCCTTTTCTCAGGAGAGAGGCCATCACTTGAAGATGCTGGGTCTCCTGCTCCTTCTCCTGGGACGAGGTATGAGCCTTGGCTTGTGAGGAGTCTGGGGTTAATGTTAATGCTGGGTGGAGAGGTGGAAAGACTTTCTCTTCAGAGAGTCTGAAGCCACCGGACAGAAGATGAAGGGGATATGTTAGATTAAAGGGCCATAACAGAGTAATTGTTGGCACAATAAAAAGGAGGCAGTGCCTTGGGGTCCTTTGGGAGCTGAGGTGGCATTGGAGTGATAAAGCAGAGACGTTCCTGCCTGGCGAGACATCTGACTCCAAGCTTGTCAGTCCTCATGAATATCTCTCTGGAATTAGGCTCAGTGTTCAGTGCTGTCGTCTCTCAAAAGCCAAGCAGGGATGTCTGTCAACGTGGAACCTCCGTGACGATCCAGTGTCAAGTCGATAGCCAAGTCACCATGATGTTCTGGTACCGTCAGCAACCTGGACAGAGCATGACACTGATTGCAACTGCAAATCAGGGCTCCGAGGCCACATATGAGAGTGGATTTGTCATTGACAAGTTTCCCATCAGTCGCCCAAACCTAACATTCTCAACTCTGACTGTGAGCAACACGAGCCCTGAAGACAGCAGCATATACCTCTGCAGCGTTGAAGACACAGTGCTGGGCACAGATCAAAGATCTGAGCAAGAACCTCAACTCTCTCCTACCCAGCTCCCCTTACATGAGCCTGAGGGCCCTGCCAAGATGGGACAGGAGGAGGAAACCACAGCTCTTGGGCAGACACAGCTGTTTCTGTGCTTGTGGGTGGGCATGGGTGTGAATGGATAGACTGGGGATGAGGAGAGCATCTGTAGGACTAGCTGGTGTGTTCTATCCACAGACAGGAAGGGTGGCTCCTGGAAAGCTGAGGGTAAAATTTCTTCTAGAAGGATGCTCAGAAATACCCAATAAAAACAATCAGATACAGTTTCCTTCAAGTGGCAGGGTCAGTAATAGCCTTTAACTGTTTTATCTCAAGGCTCTTTTTAGCTGGTTTTCTATCATAATATATTTTGGCAGAACTTTAGTCACCTTGAAACAAAGCTGGTACATTACATTAATGACATCTGCTTGTTCTCAGTCAATAGGAATTATAAAGCTCTCTAGATGCCTCAATATGACAATATGACACATGTATCCCAGGCCAACATAAAATCTGCGAAGTTCAGGAACCTTCTATAATGGTGAGTTTTGGAGTAGTCCAGAGGTTTGGGGCATGTCAAAATATCTCCTCTAATGTGAGAAGTAAGCTGCTGCACCTTAGATCATCTACCACAGAGAAAGAGGTGCAATGCTAAGTCTTTGGACTTTGAATTAAACTTTGGATATACTGCATTTGATTGTGCTACTCTATTCCATTTACTATGTAATCTGTAAAGCTGGAGCCATTGCAAGAGAGGGTTCTGTGGCAGAACAAGCCCATGATGAAAGCTTCCTGCTGCTTGGGCCATAGACTAAGCAGACCCACTTGTTCTTGAAGATCTTATGATAGATACGGATGCTCTAAGGAGATCCTGACATTCCCCAATAAGAGAATCACAAGGCAGTGTGGAACAGGTTCGCTGTGCCCTGATTGGCACTTCAGACCATTGCATCTTGGGCTATACTTTTGTTGCTTTCCAGATCCCAGAGAGAAAGAAAGCTCACACACACAAATTACATGAAGAGTGTTTATTACATACAGGCAGCAAGGGAAAACAGAGGCCTAAGATTCAGGGAAAGCCAGTTCCACTAGGCTCAGGAAAGCTGCCGATGGTGGATGAAACCTTGTCTGTGCCTTCCCTACTTGCTCTGCCACTGAGGGACCTCAGAGAGCAGCCACTCTGGGTGTTATATCCTAAGCAACTTAACATGCTTGGCAAAACATTGAAGGACATCCTACTTCTAGAAGGGACTGGAACAGAGCCCTGGCTGTTCTAGCCAGTTCCTCCTTATCTCAGGATGTTACATTACCAGCACATTGTACAGTTATTCTTGAGAACTACAAGCAAGAAATGGGGAGGTACTGAGTTGGTCCAAGGCCACCTGGAGAATTGCCCTGAAGACAGGTGCAGAGTTTTGGTGTAAAGCTATACTCTTACCGGCCAGCGACCCCCTTTTCTTTTGAAACGTTGCTCCTGGCTCTGTAACGGATGCCTCATAATGGCATTCAGAACAAGGTATTATCTGATCTGCAAAACTGTAACGTTGGCTGTGCCCAGAGCATTCTCTCTGTTATTAAATGGAAAATATATAATCAAGACCATACTTAAATACAGCTGGAAGAAGGTACAATTCAATTTCAAGAGCACATCTCAGAGTGTCATAGTACCCACTCATGCTTTTCTCCTCTTACCTTCAAACCACACCCAAGTTTCATAGAAATTTCATATTTCCAGTTGAGAAACATGAGATCATTTTTTTCAGATGGGTCTCCACATTATTCTTGAAGGATCATTACAGTCTAACCAAGTATGGTTCTGAAAGGTAGTGGTGAAGGGAAATCCTCTTGGGGCCAAAACTTAAATCGGTATACCTGATTGTTGTCCACATTTTATTGAAGAAGAGATGGCCAGAAGTATAGCTATATCTTATATTCAATTTTCTTTCATACTATCATCTAGTCTTCTTACCTATTCAGTCATATTTTTCTTCTTTTTGCTTCTCTATGCTACAATCTGGGTAATTTCTTTAAAACTACTGTTTAGTTTACTAATTCACACTTCAGCTCCAGTAAGCCTCTAATTTAATGTTTCAACTGACTTTGTTCATCTAAATTATATTTTTTATTTCTAGAAACTCCATTTGGGTCATTTACAAATATGAGATGTCATTTTTGAACGCATCTTGTTCCTTGTGTATTTTAAAATTATTTTCTTTTTATAAGTATATTAAGCATCTACTGGGAATTCTTATCTGACAATGCCAGCATTTGATACCTTTTTGCATCTTGTTTTCAGTAGTCTGCTGACTCTCACTCAGGGTGGCCTATTTCCTTGTGCACTATGTAATTTGATGTGAATTTATCTTTCAGAATTCTTTAAATACTGGAGTAAACGTGGGTTTTCTAGGAAATATTCATGCTTGCCTCTGTCAAGAAATTGGAGTGCTACAGACCCAATATCATTTTATTTTATAATTCTCAGTATATATCTTCTTGGTCATAGAATGTCTATCTCAATCCCCAATGGGCTGACTGTTCAGTGACCATGAATACTCAGAGGAAATTTTTAAAAATCCTTCACCCAAAGCCAAGACCAAGATAAATAATATTCTTTGTTAACTGCTTCTAGGATTAGTTTTCTAGCTCATCCTTTCACTAACTGTGTATCTCTTTGTGTACCTCACTTTATAAAGGAGTGATTCCTATCTAGTTTCTGGTCCATGTAAGGTCCCATGGGCCTTCTCCAGTTTCCACATGTACTAATTCTCCAGGTCACAGGAATGCACATGTATACCCATTTTATCTCATGAGTTCAATGCTAGCTTACCTTCCTGCCCCATGCTCCCATTACCATAGGAAGTTGACAAATTTACCTACAGTGAAGTCTTGGATTATGAATCACCTTCATATATTACAAAATTGCCTCTTTAAAAGCAGTAAAACACTGTGGTTAGGAGCTTGAACTTTGTCAAGTGACAGACCTAAGTTTAAAACTTGGTTCTTCTGCTATAACACTAGGTGTAACCTTAACAAGCTACACAATTTCTCCATGCCTTAATTTCTCCATAGAAAATAAGAATAATAGCGAGTTTTTAAATGTAAGTTTTTAATAAGAAAGTGATGCAATTATCTGTAAAAAAAGCACACAGAGACAAAATATGCAATTAGTGTAGTTGCTACCTAAATGTATTTCTCACTATAAAAACATATTTTACCACTAGCAATTCCTTCCTCAAGAATAAGTAGGCCTCTCTCTCAGAAAATTGTATTTTTACAATTGTTTCTCTTTTAGCTATTTTAACTAAATAAAAAAATTTGTGGTATTATAAAACATGCATATTATCAAAATAAAAAAGTCAAAATCACTCAGTTTAATAAAATTATATCATAAAATATGTAGTTTTAGAATTTATTCCCTTAACCCAATAATATTTCATGAATATCATTTCATGTTAAAAATATTTTACATTAACTTTAATAAGAATAATTCAATATACTGATGACCATCCTTCATACAATCAAAACCCATGACAAGGTATATATCCATAGGCTAGATGACATGGTTATTTAATTTTAAATAGCAATCAGTTGTGTGTGTTGAATTATTTCTGTTACAGACTCAGAAGGAAATCATGAAAGCCCTCCTAACTCTACTTGCAGATGGCTGGTTCCTTTTTATTCAGGTGTTAACTTAAATGCCACCTCCCCAAAGAGACCCTTCCTGACCACTCTACATAACAGCACTTCAGCAGTCATCCCATATTATATTATCACTTTATCCTATTTTAGTAATATGTACTCATCACGTACTGAAAGCAATGTATGTGCATCCCATTTCTATACCTCCTCACATGTGCATAAATGCATGCACATGTACACACGAATGCAATGAAAACAAGAACCTTTTCTGTCTTCTTCATTGCTGCTTCCAAATAGCATAGAAGAACTCTTGGAATATCACTTCAGGAATTCAATAAATATTTGTGAGTACATAAATATGATTTCAAACATAAGAGGAAAATTTATACAGCTGTAGTGGATTTCCCTGGAGGAAAACTCTACAAAGGCATTTGAGTTTAGATAATCTAAGCCCATAAGAAAATTAACTAGATTATTCTAACAGGAAAGGAATAAGCACTTCAAACTTTATATTTTTTATTCTTGTTTTAAATTTATGTTTTAGTTGGGAGGAGGATACAAAAAGATTAAAGGACACAAAATTACAGCTAGATAGGAGGAATAAGTTCCAGTGTTTTACAGAACTGCAGGAGGACTACAGACAACAAGCTTTGTATTTGAATAGAAAGGTACACATATCATGTGCCAACCCCCTTCTGCTGCCTTACCCAAGACTGGGAAATGGAACAGAAGATACGGGTTCTACAGAGGGGCAAAGTGCAGAACCTGCTCAAACACAGTGGCCCTAGGGTGGAAGGTTCTCAACTGGAATTGTGTTGGTGCCTGTGTGGATGAAGCACTCAGTTCTGAGCCTTGGGAGCCTTTTGAAGGCCCTCTTGGCCAAGACAATCTTGAGGAAATGGCTGACCCGTTGGCTGACTTCCAAATGGATGACACAGTCTAGAATTTTATAAGCTAAACGAGCAAAAGGAACCCAGTTGACTGGATTTATCACCAAACCTATCTTGTGAGCCTCAATCTAGAGCTAGTATAATTTAGAAAAATACATACATACATCATATATTAAACTCTGAGTATCATGAAACAGATCCTAGATGTTATAATAATAAGAACCTACATGGGTGTTTCTCCTACACTCTGTCCTGGCTTTCTTCTGCTTCCTGTCTAAGGCAGACTGGACTCACTGAAGCAGCTCTAATAGGCCAAACAAGAGAGTGGTCAAGGAGTGGCTGAAATGTGAACAGAAAGACTCACCATTATATTACAGCAATCAATCTATCCTTAAAATAATTTAGGTTTAGTCTCAGGTGCTAGAGGCTTCCCCATTTACCCATACATGGATGCCTGAAGAATAAACAGAACTATAAATTTCCCTCCGGGCATAAAACCTGCATGTTTTCCATGGCCATCGACTCCATCTTACAAGTCAGATTTTTTGGATCACACAGAGGACTCCCTTCACTCTCCAGATTCAGTGATTCCTGGGTTGAGATAGTAATGAAAACAATTCCTTATAGGATAAAGAGAAATTGTGCCATGGGATAGATCAGTAGCTTAGAAAAAAAAAATAATGGATGAGGAGAGGAGCTGGGAGTTTGGGGGGAAGACAGCCTAAAATCTAACAATCTAGTTGGAGAATGATAAAGGATACTGGAACCTAAGGAGGAGTTGAGTAAGAGCTTAGGAGAAAGACGTGGTGGGATTTGGAGAAGAAAGTGTTAAAAAAAAAAAAGAATTTGGAATCTGACACTTTTCAGACTACTAGGAGGTCTGAAAGACTCAACTCTGTAGCGACATGAAGGGGAACAAACTTCGTCTGAATAGGGAAGGTTCTAGTATGATCTCTGCTTTCCTTAGACAAGTGACCCTGGAGAAGTCACCTCACCTCTGAGCTTTAGATTGTTCATCTCTAAAAAGGAGATAACAATATCTGCTGCCTGCCACCTCAGTGAGGCTGCACCAAGGATCAGTTTGGAGGAGGCAAAGCAGAATGCCCTATGGCAGAGCACGGAGGCCCTAGAGTCAGATCAACATACTTACATCCCATCTTTACAACCTACTGGCTGTGTGACCTTGAGCAAGTCACTTCACCTTCAGAAAGCCCATTGGAGCTCTGTAAAATGGGCAATCCCATAGGTGGTTGTGATGATAAAATGAAAAAGCCATTCTTATATGAGTTACATGCCATATAGTAAGTTATGTGGTAACTTACTTGTTTTTGGCAGAAAAATTATTTTTCTTTGGAAATAATTGGAATTAAAAGAATTGCTGGGTGGAAAGGTAGATCTCTTTTAAGTTATTTCAGAAATCTCCAAAGTGCTTTCTGCATTACTTTTTCCATGAGCTAATTCACACTCAGGCCAACAGTATATAAGCGTTCCCTTTTCTCTGCAGCCTCAACAGCATCTCCTATTTTTTTTTTTTTTGACATTTTAATAATAGCCACTCTCCAGCCAAGTTATTTCAAGGCCAATGCGGGGAAGAGCCATGAAGATCCATTTTCCCAAAGAGAATTCTTGCCTGCCCACTGGCAGAATGCTTGTTTTCATCTGTCTTTCTTGTTTTTCAAAGAAAAACCAAAGGTAAAGTGGTATCATCTTCCATACCTGAACCAGTTTGTAGCCACCAGAGCCTGCTAGGAAGGGGCCCCTCAAGCATGCAGTGATCTTGTCACCTGGAATTTGAGAGATCAACAAGCCCCATAGCAACTGACCTTACACCTGCCCATCAGCGCCCATCCTTTCACGGGATTAGCTCAATTCTGGCTCTGCAGACACTGGCAGCCACAGGTGACAAATCCTGGGCCTCTGTGGGCTTCCCTCATCACCCAGGGCCACAATGGGCTGCCTGTCCTAGGCAGAGACACAGCAACATTTTCTTAAACTGAAATTAAGCATAAATTCCCTTCACCAATAATCCTCTGAGGGCACAATCCCTGCCTCCTTCCTTGGAGATTTTAAAACACATCTCTCTGACCAAACAGGTAGGTGAGATCTGACTTTAAATGGGGGAAAATCGGGATGAATAGGGGTATCAGGAATGAATCCCAAGTGTTTTTGTGTGGGGACAGGCATCCACATCCCGAACTGTACCTGGAGATGGAGAAAAATGCGGGAGAGGAGGAGAGAAAAAAAGGGGGACAAAGTGGCTAAAAGTCATTGAAAGCTTCCCTTTTGGTTCTTTCCAGCTCTGGCTGCTTTGTCAAGATCTTAGGTGAAGGCAGGGTCAGCTCTGGCTGGGAGAGGCTGCTCTGGGAGATGGGAGAGTCACGTCACCTCCAGAAAGCTCATTTGATCATCTGTAAAATGGGGAATCCCATAGTTGGTTGTGAGGATAAAATGAAAAACACATTCTTAACTTGTATGAGTTACATGCTGTATAGTAAGTTACATGCTATATAGTAAGCTCACAAAAATGATTCACTGTTATCATAATTGAAGGACAGTGGTTTGGTGTGCTAAGCACTAAATACAAGCCAGAAAGATGTCTTAGAGAAGCAGACAAAGAAAACTGTAGCTCAGAATGAACAGTAGCAAGAATGGCATGTCCTCCAAATTGAGCTCGGGCAGCTGAATCTGAACCTGTCCTACACATGTGAGTCTACGGTATGAGGTAACAGTCTCCACCTATAGCTATGTTCTCTGCCTATAAGGTCATTCATTTTTGAAGAAAGCTGACCTCAGACTATACTGTGATCATTTAAGGAAGAGTGCAAAATACTGGAGAAGTCTAGTCTTCAAGCACTAGATACAGAAATCCTCATATTCTGGGGTGTTGCCTTTCAGACAGAGAGTGAGAGCCACAAGCACTGATCCAAAAATCCCCTTTTCAAACACATTTTCCATCTTCTACCAAGGTTCACCTCCCTGTTTAGTGCACACTGGTGTCTACAGTTGCTACAGCAAGAGTCTCTCCTTATCCTCCAAGGCAGGAGTTCTGTGAAGACCCCATGACAAGGGGACAAAATGAAACATGTTTAGGGACAACACAGGAAAAACCCATATTATCAATGCTCCAAAACCTGGATACCTCAGACTTGGCCAGTTATGTGTGAGCAGAGAAGTGTGTCATCTACATGGAAGTCATGGCCTAGATGGGTCTGGAACGGTGGCAAGATAAGGCTCTAAGACAAAGTGCCAGGAGAAAGATCAATTCAATCATCTATTTCTGCCAGGAAGAAGAGACCAGGAAGGAATCAAATGTACCGTTTGTCCTCTGGGGACCTATGTCTTGATCCCCAATGAATCTCCTTTTAGATGCCACCTGCAGCAATTCCCATACTTCACAACGCTCTCCATGGCTTCCGTTGGCCTTATGGTCAGCTCTGCCAAGATCTGTATTCTTGGGAAAGACCGAATCCCTCTGAATCTCATTGTCTTCCTCTATAAATGGAAATAATTTTGTTCCACACAAATCACAATTAGCATGTTTGTGGGAAGTTAAACTGTGAACCTCAGCATAAACGAAAAGCTATGCACCACTCTTGCTTACTTAAAAACGTGTAAAGCTGTCAGACACCATACACCATCTAAGTACAGCAGCGTTAGGTTTGAGCCCAACAGTGATTAGACAGGGTACGGGGTGAAGAGGGTGTCTCAGAGCAGTGGGTCTCCTGGCTGTCGGGAAGCTGGATCGGTGGCCATGCCGGGAGTTGAACCCGAAGGTACTCTGTGTGCCCTCTCAACTCCACGGGCCCCACTTTGGCAATTTTTCTGATTCCCTCTGGTTTCCATTTGCTTCCTCCCTCTAGCGCCTGGTCATGTCAAATTTCACCACCAAGTTTCTGAGCTTTTCTGATTTTGTTCATCGTCTTCAGAACACTGCTGCTTCTTTTACCTTTCAAAGAATTCGAACTTGAACTCTGCTCACTCCTGCCCATCACCAGCCAAACTCAGAGTTGCTGAGAAGGGAAAGCACCCTCATAAGCAAGCTCCTCCTTTCTTTACATCACTAGACCTGAGTACAGACAGCATCTCCATCTCCACACTGCTCTGGCCAGGTTATGCCTCAATCAATTACACAACTGTGTCTTAGTAGCATTGGTAGGGCCCAAATCAGGATATTCTCTGGGAAGATTCACTTTGTACTGAGCACAGCATAATCTCACTGCATCGAAAATAGAAAATTCTAGACCCACCCCTCCACATCTTCGTTATTGAACCCAATATGTGACCCATTTACCATGTGCTAAAATCTCCACCTCTGCTGATTCTCAGATCAGATCAGATCCCAGATTTACCATGGTCCAAACTCTGACATCTGATCGGGGGCATGTTATTCTGGTTCAGGTTGTCAGTCCTGAGCAGGTGGGTCAGTTTGCATCACCCTGAGTGCCAATTGCCAGGGCACTGTGAGGCTGCATAAAAAATACCTATGACAGGGTACATATGAGACAGACAAATGTCTTCACATTGAAGAAGGGGAGGAGTACACCATTGATCTTCCATGCTCCAGAGGCACTGAGTAAGTTCCTACCTAAACTGTGCCCTTCCTTCTTTGAAACACTTCCCATCCTTAAGCCTTCATAGGAAGGAGAGCCATCTGGAAGCCCAGAATCCTATGGGATGCTGAGTCCCCCTTCTCCTTACCCCTTAGTTTTGGAATTCTTATTCCCCAAAGCCTTAGATTTAACCGTGCCACATGCTGACTGGAGAGATGCATCTTCATATTCACAGAAACGAGCCTTAGATACGACTTTGCTCCTCTCATGGGGGCTTCAGGACACTGAAAAGCAAAGCTTGTTACCAACGCTTGCCCTTCCTTAAGTACATTAAATACATCCCCAATAGTTTAAACGATTCCTAACAGCCAGGCCATTCTCCCTCCTTCTAACCCTCACCTCCTCGGCCTGAGAAATCACAGCTGTGTGATTGGGGGCTTGATTTTCCCTGTCTTCCCCATCCCAGAATCCTTGCAGGAAACAGCCAGTCTCCCTCTCTGCTCTCTGAAGGCAAGTTCCCTTATCACCTGTGAATCACAAACCCACAGAGTGGCCAAACATAGCTGAGCTGATGCAAGACCCTGGGAAGGGGAAAGCTGCAGGTTTGTTGGTCCTGCGAGGAGCAGTGACCCTCACCTCACAGACACTTCCTCTCCCAATCCTCGGGAGGTATAAAGACTGGTCCTCCACCACCAGTCAGGGACACTCTACCACCATGAATCCACTCCTGATCCTTGCCTTTGTGGGAGCGGCTGGTGAGTTTCATGCCCTGCCTCAGGCCCCAACCACCCCTCCTGGCAGACACATGCCCTTCCATTCTTGCCACCTCTCCTCTTTTGACTGTGCTCTGATATTCTATTTCCTCCATCTGGCATCTTTACTTCCCATCCTCCCTGGGCTCTCTTTAAGCCTCACCTCTTTCACCTTCTCCCTGATTTCACTCCCACCACTACAATTCATCCATATACGAGCTGTGGTTGGAGATGCTGGGAAGGGAGACCAGGTGGGGTGGGCCCACGAAATAAAGCAGCAGGCTTCAGGCTTGGCTCCCACAGCACCAGAATACCTCCACTATAGCTGCTGTTAACCTCAAATGCACCTGGGGAGGTGGAAAAATTACTCATGCCAGAGACTCAACTCTAGAAATTCTCACTTCATTTGTCTGGGGTGCAGCCTGTGTTCTGGGCTTTTAAGCTTCCCAGGTGATTTTTAACATTTCTAGACATGCAGCCAAGGTTAAGAATTGCTGTTCTTTTGGACAATAATAACGTCTACCTTTGTTCTGCCGAAGTGAGCCCGGGGCATCCCTCAATTCTGCCTTCACTACACAGATCTGGGCTGAGGGGGAAGCTGGTCATGGCCAGGTCTACACAGCCAGCGGTTTTCCTAGCTTGGCCAAAGTATCCTGACCATCCAGGGCTTAAACAGCCAGGTGGAGTACACAGGTGGTGAATAAAAGAGAGAAGCATTCAGTGGGTGAGACAGACACATCCCAACTCCTATCCCACTGGAAGCATTGTGAGGACATTCCTTGCATCCTCAGCCTGGTGACCCCAGGAGAGATCTGAACACCTGCAGGGTACCTAGCTATGCACCCTGCAGACACAGAGACTTGGGAGCCACATCCAGTGATGCTCACCAGGGGTGCCAGCGCTCCCTCCCTTGCCTAGCCTCACTGAGCTTCTTAAGGATTTCTAATTAGCAGAAAGCAACTGCAGGCTGGGAGCACCACCCCTAACATGCAACTGACTTGCCTTCTCCCTTCCCATCTCCACTCCAGTTGCTGCCCCCTTTGACGATGATGACAAGATCGTTGGAGGCTACACCTGTGAGGAGAATTCTGTCCCCTACCAGGTGTCCCTGAATTATGGCTACCACTTCTGTGGTGGCTCCCTCCTAAACAAACAGTGGGTGGTGTCAGCAGCTCACTGCTACAAGCCGTAAGTGTGGGGTCCCTGACTGCAAAGCTCCCAGCCAGGTTGCCTGGGCGAGCTTGGCTTTAGCCCACGGAATCACTGAGGTGGGTAAGATGGACGGGAGAGGTGGTGAAAAAGAAAACCTGTTGGCAGCAGCTGACTGTCCAGAGCAGAGAGTGAACACAAGACAGGAACCTCTCACACCCAGGCAAATCCATGAAACAGCAAGGGTTGTGGTCATAAAAGCAGGCAGGGATGATCTTGGATGGACTGAGCTTGTGAGAAACGCAGGCAAGTACTTTTGCTGGTTAGCTACACAATAAAGCCACCTAGGAAAGAGTTTTTAAAAATACTGATGCCTGTGTCCTATCCCAGGGCAATTAACTCAAAATTTTCAGGAAGAGGGTGTGAATATCAGTGAGTATTTCACACTCTACCTCTGGTAACTATAGAATCTATAGACAGAGCTGAGAACTGCCGCCTCCGCCAAGAACTCTCAAACCTGAGTAGGCATCAGAACCACCTGCAGGCTTGTTAAGGCACAAATCACTGGGTCCCATCCCCAAGGTTCTGATCAGTAGGTGGGAGTAAGGCCCAAGAATTTACATTTCTAACAAGTTTCCAGGAGATGCTAATGCTGTGGCTACCCTTGGATTAGATTACACAGAAGGGTGGTGCTCACCAGGCCAAGAAGGGAGGGAGGAACAGGCACTGTGCACAGTTAGCAAAGACCTGGGGTGAAGAACGCTGGGAAAACTACAAGGAGCTCTTTGTGCCCACAGTGCTGGTGACTGTGGAAATTGTGGGAAAGAGGCTGGGAAGGCGGGATGAGGAGCAGCCTCTGGTGCATCCCTTTGACTCTTCCGCACCCCACTAACAACCTCTGAAGCAGAAAGGTCCTGGGTCTCACACCTGCACTGACCCACATCCCTCTCCTGCCCATGTGATATGAACACATACTCCACCCCATGGCTCCAGAGCTGTCCATGAGCAGGGAGCTTAAGGACCCTGGGGATGGTGGGATGGGTACCCCAGCAGTGGAGGAAGGTCTTCACCACGTCTGCCCTGCCCATCAGCCGCATCCAGGTGAGACTGGGAGAGCATAACATCGAAGTCCTGGAGGGGACTGAGCAATTCATCAATGCAGCCAAGATCATCCCGCACCCCAAATACAACGAGGTTAAGAAATATAACAATGACATCATGCTGATCAAGCTTTCCACACCTGCTGTCATCAATGCCCGTGTGTCCACCATCTCTCTGCCCACTGCCCCTCCAGCTCCTGGCACTGTGTGCCTCATCTCTGGCTGGGGCAACACTCTGAGCTCTGGCGGTGAGTGGGACCCTTTGTCTTTCTACTTCCCTCCATCCTCCCAATTTCCAGAATGAAGCATATCCCTTAACTTGAATCCTCTCGCCCCCAGGCTTAAGACACATTTCCAGTGCCCATTATACACAGGCTCTGGACTGAACATGAGAGAGATGCAAAGTCTAAGGACTTGGCTCCTAATTCAAAAGACAGGACAAATGGAGAACTTGCCCTGATCACATTTTGGGAGGGGTTCAACAATGATCATTCTGGGAACTAAAAGCCAGAGTCCCTTGTCAGGACTTATGTTTTGGAGCCCTCTCCAGGGGCAGTGTTCCTCTTCAATGTTCCAACCTAGATTATTGTCTCCTTCTCTGGCCTAACCCACATTTCTACTTTCTTTGATCTCTTCCTGATCCTCACAGCCGACTACCCAGATGAGCTGAAGTGCCTGGACGCTCCTGTGCTGACCCAGGCTGAGTGTGAAGCCTCCTACCCTGGAAAGATTACCAGTAACATGTTCTGTGTGGGCTTCCTTGAGGGAGGCAAGGATTCCTGCCAGGTGATTTGAACAACCCTTCCCATTCTGAAGCTCCCACTGATACCCAGGCCCCATCTTGGGAAAAGATTTCAACTCCCAAGGTGGTGGGGCTGAGGAGGCTCCCTGTAGTATCCCCATGGAGAAGTGAGGAAGGCTCCCTTGGGCTGCATGCTGTCTGCTTAGGGACAGAGAATGGGCCACTGTGAGAAGGACGTGGAGCCACAGAGCTGCCTGAAAGGGGTCTTTTAAGGTTCAGAGTAAATATAGCTATATTCCTCCTCCATCTCTCCATACAACTTGTCCCTTCTTCTCCCTAGGGCGACTCTGGTGGACCTGTGGTCTACAACGGACAGCTCCAAGGAGTTGTGTCCTGGGGCTATGGCTGTGCCCAGAAGAACAGGCCTGGAGTCTACACCAAGGTCTACAACTATTTGGCCTGGATTAAGGACACCATAGCTGCCAACAGCTAAACCCCCTGTCCCGCTGCAGTCTCTATACCAGTAAAGTGACCCTGTTCTAACTGTGTCTGTGCCTGCTCCCTCACACTCCTTCACACTGGAAAGCATCCTCCAATCTCAGGTCAGATTGGGGTGCCCCCCTTAAAGGTAAGCAGAGCCCCCAGCTCCCAAAATGTGTTGCATGGTACACTAGATTAGCACATACAAGGACATGGAATCCAAAAATAGTAAGAAGTTTGGGAGAAAAGGGGGTACTCTTTTCTAGAGAAACGTGTGTTTGGAAAGGTGGTCTTTTGGTGGAGAGGTTGATTTTTATTTGGGCTTCTCACAGTGGTTGGAGCTACTCTGCCTTCAGAACAATCACAGCACAGAAAATGTGTCAGCATCTTCCAGACAGCCCAAAAAATTTTACGAGCTAAATCTTATTGCTAAATTACAACAATAATTACAAATGCTACTGGTGATGACATGCCTCTCCCAGGAATGTTTTGGCACCAAACCCTCGACCAAGCCCTCCCTTCTCATTCACCTGGAAAATCAGACTCAAGTAAATCTCCCTGGCCCCCTAATTTTCCCTGAACTCCCTAGTTCCATCTCTGTGAGCAGCTAGAGAGATGTCCCGCCTACCACAGTGGGAGCCTGACTGCAACTTGCGAATCAAGTCCAGCTCTGCACACTGCATTTTCCTCTTCTTTGATTTTGGGATAGGACGCTGCAGTGACTCCCTCAGCTAACACCAGCTCCCCACTATGACCAGGGAAAGAAACTAGAGAGGGTCAGGATTCACCCATTTGATCAATTAACTGAGAAAGGATTCATTTTCATAAAACTTGTTCGCCTTTAAGACACTTCAAATGAGTTATTTGGGACTCTTTTAAAAAGGTAGAAGGAAAGATCTGAGGGCTGTGACACCATCCAGCCACTCTGGCCACACGTTGGCTGGCTTGCACTCACTGGACACAGCAGAGGGAGGCAGGCCCCATGGCAAATCTGGCACCTCCCAAAGCCTCCTCCTGGCAATTCTGAGAGGGCCCATGCTGGGTCCATAGCTCATCCAAGCTTGTCACCGAAGATCCAAGCAAGCTTCTCTTTGAAATTCAACCTTCACCTTCTGTCCCAAGTGGTTGTGGACAACCCTGGGAGCTGGCACCAAGGGCCAGGAGCAGCCAAGGGAGACAGACAAGTTCAGAGCACATTTTCTGTTACAGGGAACACAGCACAGGCCTCCAAGTGTCCACGGAGCAGCGCGCACATTGCAGTGATGAGTAGAGTAAAACCCCTACATGCAGCAAAGCATTCCTGGAAAACGCAGGGGACCGCAATCCACATGCTGGGGAATACACCACATGCTGTGGAATGAATCAGACACTTGTTTGGTAAACAGTAAATGTGTAAATCAATTACCTTCAGAGGGCCATCTTGGCTCCAGATGTGTGATTCGTGTGAGGAGACGGCTACCACTCACTATCTTCGGAGGAAAACGGGGCTCAGGGCTCGCACATAATGGAGAGATACACACGGGTTACCCAGAAAGTCACTGCATACAAACATCACTTTGTTCAACAAGGATTTTTTTTTTAGGGAGTACAAAGGCAGACCCTAGTTCACCTTACAGCCTCGGGTTTGTCTGCTTTTGGAGATAGACAGATATAATATCTGTATACACACACACACACACACACATACACACACACACACACACATACACACACACACATATACACACACATATATGATAGATAGACACGACATATACATTTTTTCCCTTTCTTACCATAATGTCAATGCCTCATCTGAATATCATCATCACTCAAGAGTCAAGGGAAGAACCAAACGCTTCATATAAACAGGGCCGGGTGGGAAGTGTTAGTTTCCACTGTTTTCCGTCTCCATTCAGATCATTCCTATCAAAGCCCAGCTGGTTACCTGAAGCCAAGCGACAGACATAAGGATCCCAGTGGCCTTCCAGACAGCTGCTTCCACCTCCTACCTGGGCCACTTACACTCTTTACACAGAAAAGTGAGTCACCCCACTCAGATGGGTTGCCAGCAGAAACAGGGCATGAAAATCACAGATAACCATGGGATTTCTTCTAAGCGGTCAGTGTAAAATAAACCAACACTACCACCACCAAAAACACAAAACAAGCAAAAAAATCCTTATCGAAAATTCAAGACAAACTACTGTGTAGAGCCAGGCCATGGGGTTGCCTTTTCTCAGGCCACACAGCTTTCCCAGTCCATTTACTCACATGGAACAGTGAGATGTGAAGGTCTGCAGAGCCTGTGCTTGGGATGGTACTGTTCACCTGTGGGTCCAGAACAAGGACAAAGAGGCAGAAAGCTGCAACTCTGTCCACCGCCACGGATTAGTCCCTCCTGCTCAGAGAGGCTCCGAAGAGCCCCCACTTCAGCCTTCACACAAAACATCTCCTTCTGGCTCAACTACAGCCAGGCTGCAGTGCCATGGCATGATCTCTGCTCACTACAACCTCGGCCTCCCAGGTTCAAGAGATTCAGTCTCCCAAGTAGCTAGGATTACAGGTGTGTGCCACCATGCACAGCTAATTTTTTTTTTTTTTTTTTTTTTTTTTTTTGTATTTTTAGTAGAGACAGGATTTCACCATGTCGGCCAGTCTGGTTTTGAACTCCTGATCTGAAGTAATCCAAAGTGCTGGGAGGACAGCTGTGTGCCACTGCTCCAGGCCCAGGCTCCATTTTTAAAAAATAATTTCAACTTTCATTTTAGATTCAGAGGCTATATGTGCAGGTTTGTTACATGGGTATATTGTGTGATGCTGAGGTTTGTGGCACAAATGATCTCATCACTCAGGCAGTGACCATAGTACCCAATAGGTAGTTTTTCAGCCCTTTCCACCCTCCTTCCCTCTTCCCTCTAGTAGTTGCAGTGTCTACTGTTCTCATATTTATATCCATGTGTACCCAATGCTCAGCTCCCACTTATATATGAGAATGCGATATTTGGTTTTCTGTTCCTATGTTAATATGCTTAGGATTACAGTCTCCATCTCCATCCATGTTGCTGAAAAGATATGATTTCATTCTTCTCATGGACGCATAGTATTCCAAGGTGTATATGTACCACATTTCCTTCATCCAGTCTAATGCTGATGGCCCCCTAGGTTCATTCCATGGCTTTGCTACTGTGAATAGTGCTGTGAAAGATGTGCAAGAGCATGTGTCTTTTTGGCAGAACAATTATTTTCCTTTGGGTAAATGCCCACTAAAGGAATTGCTGGTTGGAATTGTAGTTTTGTTTTAAATTATTTCAGAAATCCTCAAAATGCTTTCTGCATTAATTTTTCCATGAACTAATTTACACTCAGGCCAACAGTGTATCAGCATTCCCTTTCCTCGGCAGCCTCACCAGCATCTTCTATTTTTTTTGACATTTTAATAATAGCCATTCTGCAGCCAACTACTTTCAAGGCCAACATGGGGAATAACCACAAACATAACCTTTTCCAGAAGACAATTCTTGCCTGCCGACTGGTAGAATTCTTGTTTTCATCTGTCTTTCATTGTTTAGTTTTCGAAGAAAAACCAAAGGTAAAGTGGTATGATCTTCCACACCTGAACCAGTTTGTAGCCACCAGAGCCTACTGGGAAGGGTCCCTCAAGCATGCGTTGGTCTTGTCACCTGGAATTTGAGAGATCAACAAGCCCCGATAGCAACCGACCGTACAACTGCCCATCAGCACCCATCCTTTCATGAGATTAGCTCAATTCTGGCTCTGAAGACACTGACAGCCACAGGTGACAAACCCTGGGTCTCTATGGGCTTCCCTCCTCACCCAGGGCCACAATGGGCTGCCTATCCTGGGCAGAGACACAACAACATTCTCTTAAACTGAAATTAAGCATAAATCCACTTAACCAATAATCATCTGAGGGCACAGTCCCTGCCTCCTTCCTTGGGGATTTTAAAGCACACCTCTCTGACCCAAAGAGGTAGGTGAGATCTGAGTGAACAGTACCAAGATTGGCATGTCCTCCAAATTGAGCTTGGGCAACTGGATCTGAGCCTATCCTACACATCTGAGTCTACAGTATGAGGTAACGGTCTCCACCTATAGCTGTCTTTGCTGCCTATAAGGTCATTCATTTTTGAACAAAGCTGACCTCAGACTATACTGTGATCATTTAAGGAAGAGTACAAAATACTGGAGAAGGCTAGCCTTCAAGCTCTAGCTACAGAAATCCTCATATTCTTGGGTGTTCCCTTTCAGACAGAGAGTCAGAGGCACAAGCACTGATCCAAAAATCCCATTTTCCAAAAAATTTTTCCACCTTCTACCAAGGGTCACCTCCGTGTTTAGTGCACACTGGTGTCGACAGTTGCTAGAGCAAGAGTCTCTCCTTATCCTCCAAGGCAGGAGTTCTGTGAAGACCCTATGACAAGGGGACAAAATCAAACAACATGTTTAGGGACAACACAGGAAAAACCGTATTATCAATGCTCCAAAACCTGGTTACCTCAGGCTTGGCCAGTTATTCGTGAGCAGAGAAGTGTGTCATCTACATGGCGGTCATGGCCTGGATGGGTCTGGAACTGTGGCAAGGTAAGGCTCTGAGACAAGGTGCCAGGAGAAAGATCAATTCAATCATCTATTTCTGCCAGGAAGAAAAGACCAGGAAGGAATCAAATGTACTGTTTGTCCTCTGGAAACCTCTGCCTTGATCCTCAATAAATCTCCTTTTAGATGCCACCTGCAGCAATTCCCACACTTCATAATGCTCTGCATGGCTTCCGTTGGCCTTATGATCAGCTCTGCCAAGATCTGTATTCTTGGGAAAGACAGAATATTTCTGAATCTCACAGTCTTCCTCTATAAATGAGCATAATTTTGGTCTGCACAAATCACAATTAGCATGTTTTTGGGAAGTTAAACTGTGAAACTCAGCATAAATGGAAAGCAATGTACCACTGTTGTTTACGTGAAAACTCTTGTAAAGCTGTCAGGCACCATCCACCATCTAAGTATAGCAGTGTTAGGTATGAGCCCATCAGTGATTAGAGGGGCTACGGGGTGGAGAGGGGGTCT